ATCAGTAACAAAAGTGTCATCAATGCAATAACAATAATAATATTCATAACATCTAAGATAACTATTCAGAACAAACCCGAAATAGATGCGTCAGCACATTTTTCTTTTTCATTGCCATATAATAGAGCGATGCGTCCATCGGATCTTGATTTTGCTGGAACGCTGATTTGGCCAACTAAAATGGAACAATACTGGCTTATACGACAATAATATGTGAAATTGTATTCTTACGAAATGAAATAATTTAACCTTTTCAACAACCATTCGTACAGAGGATGTATTTTTGAGCCACCACGCGACGCCGTGTGATCTCAACTCGCTCCACGTTGGTTGTGTCTTATGTGAGCAAGGAATCGCATTCAGCAACTCAGTTTCCGCCTCCGAATGCAATGCCCATATTATATTCGATGATGATAAACCTCTGGAAAAAATCTTCAAATTTACTTTAAAATCAATTTGAAGTTTTTGAACGTAACAAACAACACACAAATATACAATAATTCATGCGGGACACATGAGATTATCATTGCTGAAAAAAAAAAGTCTGTTGAGAATGAAAGTTTCAAAGCAAATAGTGAAAAAGCTTAGGAAATCATTTGTACTGAAAAAAAAGAAATTAATGAAGAGCTTACAAGAATTCAACCATAAACTGGAGAATTTCAAGGGATCAAAAATGACCAACTTCTGTTTGAGAATCTGTTTTTGCTTAAGTGGAAGGCACAACAGAAGGTATTCATGTTGTTTCATCGCCATTAGAAACCTCAGACCGCATTCGTCAACCGTCTCACTGCCCAATGTTGCTGCGGCTGTGTTCACCTCACCAAATACACTTGTTGTTTGAGCGCTTTGAAATGCTAAAATTGTTCAAATATTGAACAGCTTCTTGATTCCATTAAACAGGCGTCAACAAGTGATCTATCGGACTAATCATTCCGACCGACTCACCTCCCTCCCGCAAGGAAGATGGAAAAGCCTACTTCTGAAAGACTATTCTTAGTGAATAATTATACCGGTAATGGTTAATATTTCGACTGCTAAACGTTCATAATACATCAAAATTATGACTGGTTGCCTCATAATGTAATCAACAGCCATTCCACCAACAGGTTATATGCATGCAGCATAATGGGAGATGAAGAGATAGATGAATAAATAAATGAACAAACCAGCATTCGCTTGTGCCAGCTTGTCCATGACATCAGCCGAAAAATGGCTTAATGTATCTGCGACGGCTAACAAATGCATTTGATCAACGCTCGATAAACCTCAAAATAAACACTCAAATATTGCAGGAAAAAATAACAAACAAAGACAGATAACGTGTTTATAGAAAGGCAACTTGAAAAATAAATACCTGGTAAATGCGTATGAGTGAGAAATTCAGTTAAGAGACGATTATGGCGTGCCGTAAAGATGGTCGAAACACGATCGGTTGTTGCGAGTGCACCCGGTGAAGCGCCGGTGTAACAAACCGAGTTTGAACGAGATCGTTGACGTGATGACGATTGACGATCCTCATTACTCATTCCCAACATCTCGTCCAGATCATCCTCTTCTGGTTCATTATCGAACAAAGTTTTGTATTGATTCTGAACGTTTATGTGCATTCAATTCATCAATTCAATTAAATCAAAACCAACAATTCCGATAAATGAAAAGAAACAAAATAAAACTTTTTTCCTCGTTCATTAACTTCACCGTTCGAATTTCACTCTATTTTCTACTAATACTTTCCACACTAACTTCAAAAATTTCATATTCGCTAACAAGATGCGTATAGATAAATCGTCTTCGCTAAAAAGTTTTGATAACAATCACAATCGTTATAACAACAACACTGACAAAAATAAACAAACTCAAACTAACTTCACTATCAATATTTTCCGCCATTTGAGGATCGTCTTCGTTCGCCTCAGCACTAGCATTATCGGCCGACATCAGTAGATAGAGTGGTAATGGTGCAATACCGTCCAATTCTTCATATTCCAAATTATTCACATCATCGAACTGATGAAGATCCGACATAGTGACTGTAGCGCTTCGACTCGTTTCCGCATTCTGAGATGCATTTGATTGTGTTGAATCTGTGGCTGGTGCATCTGATACGGACATACGACGAAGTGAGGCAGCACGTGATAACGGGTTCGGGATTGACACATTCGACTGCTGAAAAAGAGGACACATCAACAACAACAACACAAAACTGATCATATGAAATATATCGTATCAAAACATAAAGTAATGTAGTTTAAGTGACAAAATAAGTAACGTAATTTCAAGAATGCAGTCAATTCAATTGCATCAAACAGTATGAATGAATGCAGTTTTGTTGAGCGCAATATCTTCCAACTTATTATTAAACGAACAAGCATAATGGCCCACAGAAACGATACCTTCAAACAATTGAGAACATGCAGTAAAATCGCTTTCACTTTTCTTGTTTTACCCAAATTCAACAATTCAATCAGTTGTTTCGGATGATATTGCGGTAGAATTGGACTTGTTAAGCGTGCTGCTTCGAATAAACCCTCGTCACTAACCGCACTTAGTACATGCTCGTCTTTTGACGTAAGCAGTAGATCTTGCAGATCTCGTGGTGAAGATATCACTCTTCAATGATAACAAATCACCATAAAATCAAACAAATATATTAAAGTTCGGTACAAAAAGACGACTTTAAATGGGTGATACTACTACCAATAATAATGATACAACTACCAATATTCTACATTCCTTCTCTAGCAATAACAATGATAAAGATCAACAGTTTTCTTCTCTCAATCAAATGAATTTCTTGAAACATTTCCAACTTTTCAACAAAACAATTTTAATTCTAATCATCACAATCAAATGAAAACTTTCCAGACAACGATGAACAAAAACAAACAAATAATGCATGATGATAACACACCGATGCATGATCTCTTTCAGAAGTTTCTGCTGCTTATTCGCTGAACCCGTATCAGCTTTGGTCTTTTTCGAGAGCTGATCGAGCATTGAGTGTGATGGACTTATGCTCAAAACAGGTAATTGCAAATGATTCGTTGGAGTCACCTTCTTCCTGTTCAATAGTTTACGTACAACAAAAAAGTAACTAATTACAAGTTTATACCTCTTTCTTATCATCTCCGTTCATTGTGCGAAAATACAAAAAAATGTTCACTCACCATTCATAAGTGCCATAACAAAATATGAAAAGAATAGAGAACACTAAAAACGTTGACACAATACCATCAACACCAACTTTGTTGAATGATCTTTTGATTTTTCGGTTTCTGTTGAACTGGCGTTGCCGGTTTGAATTGTAGCGTTTGTACCAAAATTCCATTGATTATAGACGCGCATTTCACTGTGCATACCAACAATCAACAAACCATCACGTACCCACGTTATTGCTGTTGGTAATGGTGCTAAACCGTCGGCCGAATTCAACTCCAAATACCGAATACACAGCCAACGTACCTTCAATTTTTTTCCTTTACTTCATTCCAACTGCATTCAGAACCACAAAAATAACACCTCGAATGAATGCAATGAAGGTACATTACCTAGTTGTCTTGCTATCCGCTAAACGCAATGCGACTTCATTCATCACTGAAAGAACGAACTGAATAAAGAACAAAAACTCACTAAACGAGTTGAGATACGTTCAGGTTCAGCCAATGACGATGCTTTTCTGAGTGGCGCACGACGTCTTGCATATGCAGATTCGTGCTCTTTCATCATCACGATATTACGCTGTGCAATTCCTTGTGATACTTGTGTATACATATATATTGATGCACCAACTCCAATCGTCAGAATATGCGCACCATCCTCCGTCGATACCCAGTCAATACGTATCAAATCGTTCGCACGCACTTAATCATTTCACTTCAGTCAATTAACACAGATAAACCAGAAATGCAAAAAGCAAACCAAAAACAAACGAACTCTTCTCAAAAGTTCGTTGAGCCCCACTCACTGCCTCTAATACGCCATTCTGCGCACCAACACATCTGAAAGTTGACACATAGATATGATAACAAGCCAGTGAATAACAATCAACGAATGAAACATGAATCATTTAACGAATTACTGCTTCAACAAAGGCATGACGATTGTATCCTCTCGGAGCCACTCCACACCTCCCGAAGATTCACACTCGAAAACACCAACTTTTATACTGCGTGCCATTGAATCAGCTTTAATCAGTCCTTCTGGCATATACGCACACGCAAAGCGACCATTGTGTGCTGCCGAAACACTGAATATTTCACCTGCAAATAAACATACGAATATGTGAACATACGAACAACGAATGAAACCAACCATCCATTTCAAGATCCGATTCAAGTGTGTCACTGATCATTCGCCATATATGCCACGAATAAACAGTTTTCCATTTTTGCGTTCCATTAACACATTTCTTTTTCTGCTGAGTGCATTTCCAGAATCGAATTCTCTCATCGGAACACGACGACAATAACAGATAAGGTGCTTTACAAGCGGGATACAAATTCGCTGACGGCAGATGGCCAGCTGAAGCGACCATTGAAAGCATCTAAACCATAAACATTCGCACACAATTTTATGACATTATTACATATAAGAAAATCATAATTTTTTCCTCTTAAAAGAACACCTTAACAGAAGCATAATGGCAAACAAGACAATATTCGAACGAGCAAAAATTATGGTTATTTGATCGGTGAGACCTATTACTCACAATGTCATCATAAACGCTACTGAACACGAAACAACAACGATTCTTACGTGAACTCCATTCGGCATTTCCAGTTCTTGATCGCAAACTTTTTGTGAACTCAATATCAGTTGCGCCATCGATGGTATTACCGCTTCATTACGACAACATGGTGTTGCGGAATCGTGAGTTTTCGCCGTGCTGCCATTTGGTACATCCTCATTCTCATCCACATCTAACAAAAATATAGTTCATCATAAATTATAAAAAATAATAAGCAAATTATTATCTGCCAGTATCAAACTTCTTCTACGAACCGTAATTCTTGATTGGCTGCGGTTGCTCTGATGAAACGTTCAGTGACCACATACGTAACCTTGAATAGTGTATTTTTTAAACTGACAGCATTTTACACTTCCATCTTGCAAAAATTTCGAATTCAGAACAATCGCAATAATATTAATGATAATGATAATGATAATAATAATAATAATAATAATAATAATAATAATAATAGCGTTACCTTGCAACATTACCAATTCTCTCAACGATCACAATAAAGAATCGCTCCGAGAATTTTGTCGATTTCAATTGATTGCTGATCAATACGCCATTATTCGCTAGTGATTTTTTACTTTCTTCAGTTTCTTGACCGAATATTAAACGCTCATTGAAGACGTGTAGCAGTAAGAGATTGCTTGGATCCTAAAATAACAATTACAAATGCTTTTGATCACTACTGTTGTCACCATTACTATTATTATTTCCATACTATTAGTATCACGCTTAATCTCACATTATTATTATGGTAAAGTTCTATATTGCTGGCACCGATATAATATGACCATAAAAGTTCTAATGAAATTATTCTCTTTAAACATGAATATTACAAATGAATAGACAACAAATGAATACAAATTCTACTCAATGAAGTAAAAAAATTAAAACACCAACATGTTGAGCATCAGAAATTTCAGCTAGTTTCAGAACACATCCCGGTTTAGCAGTTGACTGCGTTGACACAACATTGAACGTTTCTTTCAGATTGCTTTGTCGATTCGCATTCATTAACGAGCTATTCTCATCAGTTGGTGCTGAGCTCTCATTTGAACTACGGCTGCATTTATTATTATTATTATTATTCAACGAGTGAAGATACAATCCCTACGGACCGTCGAACATCCAAGTGAAAAATGTATATTGAGTAAACGTGCAAATAACGATAATACTAAACAAATATAAATGTACCTCATATCAATGGACGAATGCATACTCGCATGCACTTCAGATGTGTAGATTTCGGAGAGTAGACCAGCCGCATCAACAATTGCTTGATAAACTTGCAGTGTGCCTTGTTCACTGGCTACGAAACATGAACTTGGTGAATTACACACCGAACCTAACGTACAACTGCAATCAAATCATCAATAACAATGTACTTCATTGCTCTATCGAACAACATAACTGACATCATTTTATGCAACTTTCATCATACAAATACCAACCAATCAGCACGCAACTCTAGCTAAAATTAAATCCTGATAGGTCTGGATTACGATTAAATTCTAGTCAAAAAATCACATCTTTACCAAATTCGAATCTATTTTCTCACCTCGGTAATATAGTTGGTATCCACGCGATTGAAGTGAACGATGTAGACGTACGTGACGTCATACGCGCCAACTCACGAACACCGCCATTCTTGCACAAAGGACCAACCGGGTTAATACGCCATAGAATCAACTCTGCGCGACCGTTGTTTTCATTTTGCTTATTTTCAGTTGTTGTTGATTTCGATGTGCTGTTGCTTGCACCGAATTGACTCGCGGTTAGCATTAATGGTAACACCTGATGAGCGACCACCTTAAATTTGCCTTGTATTTTAAAGTATTGCAGATGAAATGAACACATCAAATCAAAAATCGAACCTGTGAAATTTGAAAACGATGTCCACACATTCGTGATGCATGTGAAATATTCAAAATTGTCGTGAAATAAGAGTTTTCGTCCATTGATAAATGCCACAAATTCAACGAACCATTCTCATGACTCGTCAACAAATACAGCACGTTTGACGAACTGCTGCTTCGTTGCTCCAATGTTCTACCTTAACTTCATACACTTTCTTATTTATTACTGAATGCACTATCCCAACGAACGTGAACAAAAACACGACAAATCGATGAATGCTTAAGTAATCAATCTTCATATATATAGTTACTATCATTAGTGCTACTGCGTAGTGATTTCAAATGAATAAATTTGCAGCTGAACGAACGCGATAATTGTTGCTGCTGAGTGCTTGATAATGACTGTTCGTTACTGTTCATATTATTTCGCTGAATGATGTCCACATAAAGTGGATCACGCGGATTGAACGTACTCAAATATGAATTCAACGATGCTGCATCTGTGAGTGGAAATGCTGACGGAAAACGCGATGTGAAACTTACGGTTGGCTGACGACAAGCATCGTCTAGCCATTCAACAGTCCTGAATTATTTATCAATAAAAATCCGTATATTATAGTGATTACAACGATACTAACAAAAATGACGATACCAACAAGTATAATAATGATAATCTTTCCTAATAATCAACCGTCGAAACAAAAGGGTTAAAAATTGCGAAACAATGACCACCATCACCGAAGAAATCAATCAAACAACAACAAAAAGCGATACCACGTTAACAAACTGCCATCTAGTGGATGAATTGCAAAAAGAATATCATTTGATTTATGCCACTGCTTTATTAAAATTTCCAACTTTAAATCTAATGAATCTCTCGATGTTGTTGTTTCCTGAAACAACATTCCAAAAATCATTTTGCAAAAGCAATCAATCATAACCATATCAGTTTTTTTTTTCTTAATTTCTTCTTCTTATCTGCTCGTTCGAAGTGAGTGACGATACAAATTCAATTCGGTCAACACAAATTTAGGCGGTGATCGCAACACAAATTCTATGCTACATAATGCAGTTTCACCCTGCGACATGGCATATACCGTCCACCTTTGTTCTGGAGAGCTACGCTCTTCAAATTTAAAAATTATCAGTCAATAGCGCAACTATCAGACAACTTGATTCAGTATTATCGATAATAGTAAACACTCACCGTTAAACTTGCACCCGATGGAATCCTACCGAAACGATGATCATTTGGTTGCACGGTTAGATTACTCGTATTAGAATCAGTTGCTGTGGCTTGCTGCAACGTTGGTGTTTGACGGGCATCTTCGCACGATCCGTTTATTTGCACAGATGACGATGCAACACCTGATCCTGATGAGTGCTGTTGTTGCTGCGATGATGGGTCACTTGCAGGAGGTACTGCATTTGACGACGAACTTGTGGTCATCATTATGGCTGATGATATTGATGCATTATCGTTTCCTGTTGGCATCGCTAAAACACAATAAAGACTCGAGCTCGCATCTTTCAACAGAGCATAGTCTTGCACGTAACAAATCAGTGTTTTATTCGCTAAATCAAAACCTCATTTGTTCTTGATCAAAAACAACGATTCCTTCACAGTCCTCAAATTTCAAAATGTAATCGCACATTCGTAACAAACAATAGTGTATATAACCAAATATCAAATATAACCAAAAAACATACTCGAATCCATAGCACCACCATCAACATTTACACCAGAAAATTGATTGTTATCATTACTGCTGTTCGCTACTAATGCTTCAGCCAATAACTTTTCTGCACCAATCGCATAAACAAGTTCTTTATTATTCAACCAATGCACAACGAATGGCTTCTGTCCCGCTAACGTATTTTCCATTGATGGCACCAAAAGGCAATCTCAAATCAATTTCTGTTATTACCACCATTATTATCCTTAACATTATACCATTTATCGCTATGATTACTATTATTAATATTATTATTATGATTTATGATTATTATTATTTAAGTAACCATTTTCAGCATTAATTGATGCAGTCAAATGAAAATGTATAGCTGTTGCATTCGGCATTGAATTCGTCACATCTGCATAAGAAGAACTGGTTGGTAATAAGGGTGATGGTGGAGGTATAGACATAATACTATCATCTCGCCAGTCATTCAATTTCTTCCTTTTATCATCACTAAAACGAATTACATCAGCAACAGTAATCATAGTAATATCATAACTAACCATAACAATAGCACTGAGTTACTGCTAATTATTGGAGATAGCAAATTCTTCATAAAATGAAAGCCAAAATTTGAAAAAATATAATTGAAAAAGTGAACAACAAACGAACAAATGAATGAATACATAAATAAATGATATAAAACGAACACAACATTCTTCAGACGCGCAATCATTTTCAAACGTGCACTCCGCATTCGACTACTTTTTGATTCATTTTTCATGAATGAACTTTTATCACTTAATGCCGTCTCATTATTCACTTGCAATGTTGAACTGATTATTGGTGTTTCCTTCCATAAACGAGCCGTATTATCCTCACACCACGTCAATAAAACGTTCTGTACACAACGTCTATAAAACATAGCGATTACCCTAACTGATATGCATTAAAGTCAATAACAACAGTTCACCTCGACATGTATCGCCCACTTTTACGCCATTCGAATCCGCATACAGGTAATGGATGTTGCAAATAGGTGAAGCTGAATTGAATCGAACTTGACTTATTCAATGAATCTGGAAATAAAAATTCATTTATTTCTTATTTTGTTGTTTCTTCTCAACACTCCATTTCATAGTTTCTCTATCGGTTTATGCATTCATAATCAGCATTTTAAGCTCTTCAAAATGATCTCTGTGTCATCGCACATCTATAAAAGATTCTTCTCTGGCAATGCAACTAAGCGTTCGTTTTCACACTAGACTATACTCCTCAGTTCTGGTACGCTATAACCCCAGCGGCAATCGACCACATTGCTATTCATCAACCTCTACGTTGTTTCAACTTCAACTACATCGAAGAGTTCGCATTTTATAAAATTCTTGAAGAAATTATCACCTTCAAAACAAACTAATTCTAACGATAATTTGTTTGAACATCATAATCCAATGCGGAAGTACAAAAATATGCTATCGACTGACTGCTGGTGGAGAACCTGTCGCGCGCGCTCGCTTTATTAAACTTGAAACGAAGATGATTCCACTAATTATTTGCTTCCGCGTGGTTGCTATGGCCTAATACATGAGAATGTAGAATGGATATTAACAATTCAGAGATTCAGTGCACATCATGGCCTTACCCTGTGCAATACATTCGTTTGCGTCAGGCTATGGTCAATATTGTCGTTTGAAAATCTTTCTTGTCAAATTTTACTCAAAATAAAATGATTTCGTATGCAAATATTTGAAAAGTAAAATCCCGTTCTCGCTGATCTGTTTGATTATATTTGATCAGTAATAATTTAATCACACCTCGTTCTTGATACCAAATTTTCACCATTCGATCGTTGACACCACACGTCGCGAACAGTGTTCCATCGGGTGAATAACGAATAAATTTTGGTGGTGCTGACATTTGTACCGACCAAACACATTCCCATGCAGGTTGCGTGCTCGTCGTCACTTCATTTGGCTGCTGCGTTTCATGATCCTTAACAATACGATGTTATCTTTCTTGATCCAATACATAAGATTGATCTAATACTGTCCTCCTTGATCTAGTACATAAGACAACAATACTTTCTGCTGCTACAACAATACGCTTAATTAATCATAAAAAAGGCTCGATTTCTGAGCAGTCGCGGAGACCGTTAAGCCTTCGCCGTGTGGCTGTATTAAGATCTCTATAATCAGTTCCCAGCGCACGTGCTGAGGTCAAACGCTGCAGTCAGAGCGAACTCATCCATACGCGAGCATTAAAAATGATTAGATAGAAGCTAAATGGCTCAGGTTTAGCAACATCAATGGCATTGGCATACCACTCGGTTTCGAGCAAAACTTTCCTCCGCGAACGAGAGTCGAAGCCGCGATGAATCGATCACCGGTTAGGGTTCTACAAAGTCCACTCGACGGAAGCTGAACAGTCTCTGCGATGGCTCACAGACAGAGCCCCAAACGGTTATTGGAAAGTCGCAGGTTCGATTCCCATTCGCGGGGGGAGGTTTTGCCCGAAACCGAGTTGTGTACATAACAATATCATTAAAGCCACAATTTGGCTTGAATCTAATTAGAATCGAGTAAACTGGAAATTCATTACATCCTAATGAACAAACTGAGAGGCAATATATTTCATATGTAATAACCTGATTAAATATGGATGATTATAATTAACGAACGAATCAAAATAACAACCTCTTCATTAATATTGAACATAACCGGTGCTTGTAACGTATTTGGTTGTGGGATATGATTGTTGACAAGAGTTGATAACGATGAATGCTGATACAATAATAAACTATTTGCACAACACACCAACAACCGCAACCCTTCTAAATTCCACAATACTGGCCCTACCGCGCAATCCATCGCTAAACTTTGTGTTTCATACCATCGATAATTCACTTTCTATAAATTCTTTGCTTTATAAGTACTTCCATTAATCACTACCACAATTCTATTCATATATTTATTCAGTAAATATGTGCGATATGAGAGGCGATATATTTCACAAAGTAAGGAATAACTTGCAAATAAGATCAGACTATCCCTCTAGAATTTTGCAGGTCAGATTATTGAAATTGTAGCTGAGCAATGAAAGGTTGTTACAAGCCAACAACTAGTCCCAGGCTATTCCCATATAAATAATCTTATAGTTAGACGAAAGAGCTAGGCAAATCATAATGGGTATTACCACATTACTAAAGACTTAGAGAATCAGAATCTTCACAACAAAAAAGCTAACAAGTTAAAATTTCGTTCATTTTTGTATCACTCTTGCTGCATCTATTTTCAGAACAACTTCATCTATCAACAATGTCAGCTTTGCCTCAGTCATGGCCATACGATCGTGATCAGTCTCGAGCTAATCCAAAAGGTCGGCTGATGTTTTTGTCTCGATCGAACAGTATTGCAAACTTTGTTTATTCTCCGCTGCAGTCGCGCAAATGATATTAGCACGGCTAAGGGTGGATAGAGTTTTGCATAGAAATCCTGAGTCTATTTAAAAGCATTACTCTACAACAAAATAATGACGATGCAAGATTGCGCTTTCAAGGAATGAACAAAAAATTCAAGTCTCTATCAAACAGTAAGCCTATGCTTAAATATGAGGCTATTAGCGCTCATATCTACTCGCTTCGAATGTTTTCAGGAGATGGTCAAGCTGGAAGTCTTACGCGTTGCCTGCAACGACACAGCGCACGGTAGCCGTTGCAATCTAATGCACTGATGATAGAACGAACGTAAAATTTCGATACCATGAGTCGCATAATTACCAATTAAACGCAATGAAGAAACATTTGCAAAATGGTCCTTATTTCTGTTTTCATGGATTCGAGAGCGTTCATGAACCAAAAGATGAAATATCAACAAAATAAAGAAGAAACAAACGTGTTTTGATTTTTCATTCAGCTGACTGACTGGTTCAAATAGTCGTATAAGATTGCCGTACGTAGCTGCAATCTGCACAAAACAAAAAAATTGTGTTGAAAATTATCTGAGACAGATTACCAGAAAACGAAAACAAACATTTCCGTGATACTAAACGTGTACAAAAGTTTAAGATAGCTATTGCGACAGCCAAATTTTGGATGGCAACGAGGATTACGAAACAAATCGAGACGGATCAACCAGGTAACCCACCTTTCCCGAATCGGGACAACAATTAACGCAACGAACGATACGTTCGGCAGTGTCATGGCATGAACCAGGTATCACTTGAATACGCTCAAATGTTGATGATAATATGACAACGTCAGCTCCTACCGCACAAACCGTAAAGTTTATACCGTCAATTGAGCCAACCGCAAAAACATTTTCGCCCCGATTCAATGCACCTGTTATAACTTGATGAACACTCATTCAAAATTCCCTTCTTCTGCTTGTCTCATTCGTCGTCACCTTTAAAAAACAAATAAAAGAATACGTCAAGGAATTTATTGCGCGTGCATTGTAAAATATGAACATACATAACACACATGACATGAACGCTAATTTCGTTGAATGGGCAAACGATACACGACAATATCAACACATCTTTCATAATCTCAAAACAACACAATACGCTAAAATCAATCCGAACAAGCGACATAAACAAAGTTTATTTACTCATTGCAAAAGCCATTCGATGACGAATATTAAAGATTAGATCGGATATTCCTCGGCAACGTTCGCCGATTCGCAATCTATCCTTTTGACGTCTCAAGAGCTATTCCTCTTTCGAATAGCAATGCAGTACAACAGAATACTCTCAGAATTTTTTTAAACTGATTTCTCACAGTTTGCACGAGCTAAAATACACTTCGGTTACAAGCAAATGTTAGATTTAATCGAGAATTGTTCTCGTCGGAAAATCACGTTGAATGCTCTAAATGAAGGGTGTGCGTTTATGACAGTGCTGTTGATAACGAGGATGGACTTAAAGAATTATCACAACAATGAAATTAAAGAAATTTTCAATTTATTCTTTGAATAACCGTCTTCATACAATCATTTAATAACTATAATTGAGCAATATTTTGTCGTACAACTGATCGCTTCAGACAAACAAAAACAATCCCACAAACGACAATAATAACAACAAAAACAATAAACAACAACAACAATAATAACAGCAATCGCAACATTTGATTATCAATACAACAACATCCAACAAAAGCCAATCCATTATTCAAGATTTTTCCCACAGATTCCTGCGTAAAACACTTTAAAAATGAAATTCTGTCATTCAACAACCATTTCTTCTCATTGAACAAAACTCATTTCCTATCAACACTACTACCCGACACCCAATAACTTATCAGTGGATTCTGAAGTGGGGGAAACGCAATATCTTGAAAATATTTACTCACTTATAATCGATACATAAGTTTTACAACTACAAGTGAAACCGAATTAAATGAACGCTAAAACATAGAATACAAACGAAAATAATAAGTCAATTAATTAAATTTGAAGTGATTCAAATCACTAATGGATGAGCAAATTGCTTTTTGCAAAAAAGAAACATAAGATATTTGAATCATTAAGTACGCTCACAAAAGAATTCATGGGCTCACTTTGATGATTTAACAGTACAATCAATATCAATAGCACCATTATCAACGAATATCCATACACACAAATAACATTCGTGAAGATAAATGAATAAATTTCTACACATATAACAATATATTCAACGTGTATTACACACACAAATATGCTCAAATATTCTTATACAATAAAAATCCTGCTAACGCGGCTACGGCAGCTCCAAATGTAATCTTCGACAGTAGATTCGAATCATGCAGATAATAAACTCGTTTAAGATGCCTAAAATACTGCTTAGATATACTAATGAGCAACCAACTAAATGTACAAATAAACAATAAATAAATAAACAAAGTTAGCCCCAGTTCATGTTCTTCACCTTAAACTAATTAGATCTGATCACTGTTAAAATTCTATAAACGATTGTTTGCAAGCACGCTGATTCCATGAAAAAATCGGTATCTTCAGCCTCATTATTCTAACAGTGACCGTATGGGTGTAAAAGGTAGATGCGCACATGCTGGAGAGTAGATGAATCGAATGAAAAGTACATTTAAAAACAATAATAAATAAACAAATACATACGGATAGACGGCCATTGTGGCAAGTTGAGTGAATATTTGACTTCTTGCATTGCCCAGATCCTCGTCACGAAACCGAACTGGCTGCGGAAGGGTATGTGTTCGACAGAACTCGTTTGGTTGCTGTTCGTAGTTTTGCTCAGCCTCACATCGCTCCACTTTTGTGGCGATTATTAAACACGGCACTTTGGTTCGATAGAAATATTTCTTTAAAAAATGTTTTCTTAATCTTTTTTCAAACAGAACAATGATAAGAAAAAGAAAATAAAACCAAACACATTACACAACTAAACTTCACGATTCACAACGAAAGCAGCAAATCAACAAAACATACTAAATAAATGGTCGCACAATATGCGAATGAATTCGGATTTGATGCATCGTATAATAAAACGATCACATCTGCGCTCTTCTCATAACTTGTCAACAATTCGTCACGTGAATAAACGTCCACTTCATGCAACTAAAAACTTCTCATTTTTACTTTTTATCACAACAAAAAACAACAATAATAATAACTTTCACTACTGCTATTAGTACCATTATTATTTTCCCAATAATGAATGCACACTTTAAAAAGCAAAGTAACAATCAGACATTGAACAAATAAATACCAAAAGATATTTGACTTCATCTTTAACAGTGACCGAATTGATAACATACGGATTAAGATGTTTTTTGTTCATCGATGCGATATCCTGAAATGATTTTTATTACAATATATAGTACAAATCATTCATGTAGTCTGGCCAACGAATACGTCAGAGTAAGTACCGTAATACAACGACTTCACATGTTCAAAAAAAAAACTATTTCTTTTCTAAATGATAAATTAAACAAGTGAACAAACGACGATAAAACAATAACAAGAATACATAAATATCAGATGTAATGAAACTGAAAATTAACAAACCACTAGATTTCGTCCTAAAAATGATTGTATAAATGCAGTTTTGCCAGCGTTTTTTGGACCAATTACATGACACTGAAAAACATTCCGCGTTGTTGATTTTTCGAATAAATCAATTCGTCGATCACGTGTCACCTGAAAATGTTTTAATATTAAAAAACAAACAAAAGCAAAGTAAACCGCTTGCATGCCACATCAACGAATGGCGATCCGATTCGAATCGGGCCGACATCTAAATAGCCTAAAAAGTCAGTTTAACAAAATGTAAGAAGAATAAGAATTATATAATGAGATTATAAATTAAAAAGCAAAGAACAGACTGATGAAAACAGAACAAACAAACTTTAATGGCATCAATTTGTGATTGATGTCGCATATTGAAGCCAAGATAGGCAAGTAATTCCATCGTTAATGAAACATTCATAAATGTTGTCAAACTGAAAACAATAGCTCGTTTGCTAGCATCAAACCAAAAAGTATCAACACAAATCGAATCAACTGCAAGTTACTCTCAACGATTTAGAAAGTGTGACAAACCTCAGATTTTTTTGGCTAAGGATCTACCTTTGCATATGCATGTCATCTGTTTATTCTCTTACCGAACACAGGGAAGGGTCTTGCAGAGCTATACTCTCTCTTATCAACACTTCACTCTTGCATATAAATGTATTTATATGAAGCCTATTCAAGCAAACAAAAAATATCTAACACAAATAGAAACAAAACGTGATCAGTTAAGTGTTTCTTGAAAAAGTATAATAAAAAACAAAGAATAAAAACGAACGTAATATTAAAAACTCACATCCAATAGCAAATATAACCGTTGAATGTAATCCAACCGCGATTATTTGTCTCAGTGGATGCGCTTGCTTCTTTACTGAAAGGATTCGTCGAACATACACTAAACAGATTCTGCACTTCTGATGGTGACAAACATCCGTCTTTATCCTTTAAAATACACTTTCTCGTAGAAGAGAATGCAAAACATCCATATTAATAAGCCATTCTTCTCTCCTTTGATCGATTACAATTTATCGATAAATACTTATTAGTGAATCGTTTGAAATCATAAACACTCACTTCATCATATCGTTCAAAGAGAGCCGTAATAAACTGCAATCCTTCGTAGCTTAATTCGGTTGAACAACCTCTCGGCACTTTTAAACTGAATTCAAATTTCATAAAATTATTCAATTAAATAATTACGAATGAACAAATAAAGTAATAGCTAAACAAAAACCAACGGTGGATTCAGATAGTCAATAGAGAGTTGCAGTTCATTGTCATAACCGAAACGTCGCAAAACTTTCCATGTTGTTTCGTGTCTTCCACGATGTATGAACAACTGATGCAAATAAATGAAACCTAAGAATATATTCAATAAAGCACTAAAAATAACGATAGCACTCACGAAATTCAATTTAATCAGTTATTATAACTATCCCAACAAGTGAACTATTCGTTAACAAATGCAATCCAACATAACCAATAACATACAACGAACCACTTAAAGCTAACGCATTGTCAATGATATCGTCGTTTTTATGCGTTTCTACAGCAGTTTTTACATCCGATATAGCAATCGAATTGAGTGGTACTCCAAAAACGAACATTTGAAATTGATTCAACTCATAATCGTTCAGGAGACCATCATTATCGAAATCACATAACTGTTAAATGGTGTTAAATAAAATCAAGTTAACAACTGACTCATTCAACAACAACAAATCGAATTTTCAGGAGAAGAAAACCAAATAAAATTCTTTTCGAATTCAAATTCAACAATTTTCAATTATTTACTCAATCAATCCACTAATAAATCGATGTGATCACATAAAAAAGAAACAGGAACTGAAATATCATCAGAATAACAACAATAAGTTCACCTTAAATATCCGAACAAGTGCTTTTTTGCATTTTCTTGTTAGTTCACGATCTTCAGAAACGTACAGCTGGTGTGTTGGATAGAGTACTGCTTTTTGGGCATAATAAAATATCTCGCTAATATTTTTTATTGTTTTTGCCGAACACTCCACGCAAGTTTCAATTTCATCGAATTCATTCATTATTGGTAAAATCTGAAAGATCCGTTCGATCAATTAATCATTCATTTATTTCAAACAGCGCAGTTTTGATCATTACCATCACCATTATCATCATTCGAAATTCACTCACTTTTTCCATTTGTTTCGATGAGCCAGCCTGGTCAGATTTATTTCCGACAAGAATCACCGGTTGCATACGTGAACTATCAGCGGTACTTTGTTTGATCAACGGTAACCAGTACGAAGTTATCTGAAGAAGTTCGCATAATTCAGCAACACCGAAACCATTACAAAAACAGTTTACACATATATCTATTATAGAATCTAAAAAGAATGAATCGACTTATGAAATAAAACCAACCATATCAACTGATGATTGATCTAGTACGGAATAAACAACACAAATAACATTTGCACATCTTATCTCTTTTAAAAGCTCTTCTTTAGATTGTTCTTTTGCTGAAACAAAAAAAGTCAGTGATATTACAGAAAATGAAAAGGTAATCAAAGAGAATTGAGTAACGAAACAACGAACCGCAATAATCATGTATTGAAGTAAGAACACGCTCGGGTGTTACATCAGCCGGTATCATTACATTATCAATACGAGATGGTACATTTTCAAAGAATTCATCTTCCAGTAACGATACTATCAACGATGTCTTACCGACACCTGCTAAAAACAGTGATTTTATGCTGTTTTTGATGATCTAGTTCGTTTTAATGTGACGTCTATAAGAAGACATCAGCAGTAGCACTTTGCAGAATTGCTTGAACCTCTGATGCAGCTTTGCAGCGTTAAACGTGAGCTTTTGACGCTCAATCTAATGCTCAACGCTGAGTAATGGATAAATAACGTAATGAGATTATTGAAATTCTCGTGCAAAAACTGAATGAATTCAAGGAAACATAAACAACTTACATTCACCCAATAACAATATACGCACATCCACTTCATTTTCATCCTTCTTATTATCACTTCTTTCAGCTTTAGTCATTGATGAAGTGATTTTTGACTGATTCACTACTTCACCTCAAAATTTTTATAAAACATAGCAATATAATATTAATGAACACGAAATGGATGAGTTTTTTGTTGCATATTCATGGTATTTATTGCAGTCATTTATTTGCATGAAGCGGAGCGTGAAAGTGGTATCCAGAAGTGAGACCTGAATGGCTAACACTCGAACATTTAAACGCCTCCGACGATTCAACGAATGAAATATTACAAGACAACGGAAAATGAACAAATTCATTCCTGGAATTCCAGAAAGAAATGGAACTTCAAACAAAAGAGATCATAAAATATGAATTCTCTCAATAACGAAGCTGTAAAAAGCCATAGATACTGTACGAATAATCATACAATCTACGCAAAAGTCGACGGTTCGTGCAGAACAAGCCAAAAAGCACTTTCACATGCGCGCACGCCCTGACGTTGAAAGGTGAGAGAACGAGAGGAAAATACTTTATACATCCGCATAAAATAAACTGACTGAATGTCGTCGTGAAGACTGAAAAGGAAATATTTCCATAGCGCAACATTCCTGACTGATTTCAATCCCAGTTCTCTACAGACTGGGGAATTTTCAGGAGGAATGCTCGTGCCATCTTCGAAAATATAACGGGGAATGAATCGTCCATATTCCGTAAGAAAATAGTATTGTTACGAGCAAATGAAATTTAAAAAATGCTTGAATAGAAACTTGTTCAATCAACGCCAAATAGTCCGCTGAAAAGAGAATTCAATTCTCTCCAAGCTGAGAAATTTAAAAGAAAAATTATCGTGCAGTTTCTCAAATTGTTTCTTAAAACGTTTCATCATTATGGAAAATACTTATTAATACTATCTCGCGTGGCACATTCAAAGCTACCGTAAGCTCAACCTTGCCCACTAACATAAGAATTTTTTTGCATCAGTCGATCCAGCTGGATCTCCACATTCAGAAAAATATATATTTTGTCGAGCGATTTTCTTATACCGAGCTGACATAGCCATTTTCTGGAGATATTCTCAATTCAATAGCGTAGTCGCGCTCATTCGTACAAATTGATCACTATAGAGCAATCAATACGTTCATATTAGCAATAGGCGGATTGCGATCTTCGAGCTAACCGTCTTCTCAGGTTTGCCCGGAAACATGCGAATTTCTTTTCAACGTTCGATCCAGCACAACCTCTAGG